AGACTATATATATATATATATATGTGTGTGTGTGTCTACATTGGATTCAATGCCCAGAAGCAACAGTTTGTATCATGTTAAATGTAATTGTCATGACCTGACAATTGAGTGAAGCCTGAAACAGTCCATCGCTTCTGGCCATTGACTTCAATGTCCACTTTTATATTTACATATGCTCTATCTCTAATATCGAGCATGAATATAACATACCTTAAAACTATATTTTATCATTCATATATATATATATATATATATATATTGAACTCCCATTTCTTAATGCCAGAAAGCACATATTTTTCTTTAAGAAGATTCTTTGAATATAGACAAAAATAAATAAATATACTGTTTATTAAATGAACAGAGCATATACTCAAATATGGTTATCCACTAAAAATAACATTTAACTTTATGCTTGTCACGTGGATTTTTTGTAATCCCCAAATTTTTAAAATACTTGTAATTCATAGTTTGCATCTTCTTTTTTTCCCTTACACTACACTCTTGACTCAGTGAGTGTGTAGCATGTGGTGTGATGCAGTTGTAGCAGGAGGCAGATGTCATGGGACTATCCATTTTCAGAAATCTAAGGGGATTAACATATTTTCTGTTTATACGTTATTTTAATAGATACAACTTATTCAAATAAATGCATTGCTTTTTTTTTTTTTTAATTCAACAGAATTAATTACTGGCCTGAATGTTTGAGAAATTTCATAGAAAATATGCATTCTCCAACAGGAATCGATTCAGGCCAATAAATGTAATTAATACAGTTTAATTAAAAAAAAAAAGAAAAAAGCATTTACTTAAATAAATTGTATCTATTAAAATAACATATAAACAGATAATATATTAAATAAATATTGGACTTAATCTATTTCCTTACGGACGAACATGTTTCTAAGAAATGTAAACCACCAGCATCACATTTAGTACATTCCCGTGCAACTTTATTTTTTATACTCTACATAGCAGCAAAACTACCCTGAGCCATTCATTTACTTCTGGCAACATAGACCCCATGCCTGATGAACTGGAAACACCACTCAGCAAAACTATAGTTGCACGCCAAAAATGTAGGTATGCATATATGTATTAATTAATACATATGTTTGCTCTGTATAACTCCATTGAGCACTATTACATTTACCTTCATGCATAAATTTAACATTTATTTGCTTGCCTGCATATGCACACCTGCTTATATTTGGCCATTTCGTTTATCCGCTCTACAACCATATATATATATATATATATATATATATATATATATATATATATATATATATATATATATATATATATATCAGCTGCCTATATATATATATATATATATATATATTTTACACACATACATGTTTGATTAAAGATGACTGACAAGGTACTATGAATAAGCTTTTTATTCCATTTTTCTTGTGTTCGTAAAGTGACAAAAAACTGTTCTGATATTCTATATACCCAAGCACTTTTGGCTATTCTATTAGCCATTATCAGGGTTTTTTTTTTTTAACTGAATATGTAGATTTTTATATATGTGTATCTATAGTGATAAGAATTAAAATAAAAATAACCACCTTGATAATGGCTAATGAAAGCACTTGGTTATATCGAACATTTGGACAATTTTTACACAGATTATATCCAGAAAAGAGAACACAAGAAAAATTGAGTGACGGAATTAATTTCAACTCAGAACTAATTTCAACTTGATTTAAAATCAAAGTTATAATTTCTGTGAATTCCTAAACAAAATGCAATGAGTTGGTGTTAATTTTTTAATTTAGCATTAAAAATTGTTAGTAGAGAAGATAATTCAGAATTCATCTTTTTTTTGCAACTTTCATTCTTTTTTTTTGTTGCAAATGAATAAAGTGGAATTTTTTTTATTTACTTTTATTCATTTAAATCAGATCCAATAAAAATGTAATTTTCTTTCTAGCAAGAACAGTAGATTGCTTAGCAGGGTTTTTTTTATTTTTTTTGTAAAAAACTTTCACAAGTTGAAATTAGTTCCGAGTTGTAATTAATTCTACACCCCGAAAAATTAAATAAAAAGCTTAAACACAGTACCTTGTCAGTCATCTTTAATGAAACTTGTATAAAAGAAGGATTACTACCCAAATATACAATTATATATATATATATATATATATATATATATATATATTTTATTTGAAAGGACTTTTTATGCAACATTATTTCTTATTACTATAAACATTATTTTTAGTGAGCAGACATGTTTTAGTTGCTATGTGGTCTAAATTGAGAAGTCCTACTTAAGAAAAACTGTGTCTCCAACAGAAAACAACAAGCTTTTTCCAACAGAGAAGTCACTTTTTCAGCCAAAGTCTGCCTCTACCAGTTCATTGACAAAGACCAGCTGACAAGACAAGTAGGTCTTTAGAAGAACCTGGAGACTATCCCACAGGTTGACCCAAGCCATGTTAGTGAAATTGGATAGATGAAACTGATCAGAAGCTGTTGTCCTAGCATGATGTAACAAGTCATCATGACTGAGGGTTTGAGTGTACTAGGCTTGATCATGTCAGATTATGTGCTCAGTCATAATGACTTGTGACTTTGTGTTAGCACAACCATTGACAAATAATTTCATCTACTCAATTTCACTCACAAGGCTTGGGTCAGTCAGCGGTATGGTTTTTCCGGCACTTTCCAACAGTGATATACACTGGAATTGCCTCAACAGACTAATAACATCAAAATGTCAACTTCCTGACAGATGAAGCTGAGATTTGAACCCATGTTTCATGGTCAGAAATCAAACATTCTAACCCCTTGGTCACACACCCATCTGACAAGAATGCATCCCTTTTTTAATTCAGGGAAACCACATTTTAAGCCAAAGTTAAAATTACCTGTCAAGGTAAGCATGTCTTTCTAGATTCCTTGTATATCAGATCCCATGAGGCTTCACTTTGTAAACAAAGGGAATGCTTACTGGGTTTGAATGTTATTGGACTCTAGTTTCGTGAAATTCAATTTTTTTTTTCTCTTCCATTCCATTCGTTAATTTAATTTACATGCTTTTATGAATTTTATATTCCCAGAAAAATAAACTTGATAAGTCCTGGGACGAAACCGGTTGTTTTTTTTTTTTAGCTTTTTCTTTTAAAAATGCCTTATAAAATTGGTCTTTTCTTAGCTATTATTAAATTCTATACCACCAAAAAATCATTTATATTATATATATATATATATATATATATATACACACATTTTATTTTAGGATATTATGTCAAAAATATGTAAAAAGTGCTACACAAATGCAATCATGTTTTGATGTGTATTAACATCTCATCGAAACAGGATTGCATTTGTGTAGTGCTTTTTAGATGTTTTTGATGGAATATCATAAAATAAAGAATATTGCTCTACTCTTGTATTGAACCATCTTTTAAACTGAATGTTACAAACGTTGGAATTGGATTCTATTTGTTCTCATTTCACATGGAGATATATATATATATATATATATATATATATATATATATTATCCTTCACTGATAACACATCTCAGAGTTTTATGTACAATGCAATGTTCAGGTGCTGAGTATCAGTTAACTGATACATAATATAGATTTTAATAAAAAATATCTGGTTAACACAGACCATATATTATACGGGAGTTAGAATTTTTTTATTTTAAAAATATATTTTGCATTGAAAATAAATGTGAATTTTATATATATATATATATATATATAAACAGACAACTTTAAGGATTATAATTTATTTCCTTAGTACCAGCATTTTGATCTTAATTCATCAAATCTCTATTTTCATCTGATGAATTAGGACCAAAATCCCGGTCCTAAGGAAATAAATTATAATTCTATGAACCCTTAAAGTTGTCTGTTTCTTAATATAATTAATATTTGCTTTGTTTTTACATTGAGCTCTTTGAATTATATCTTCCCTTGATATCTATATTTATTACCAAATAACTTCAATAACTACCTACCTATATATATATATATATATATATATATATATATATATATATAATTATGTTTTTAAAAATATGATTCCTTCACAAATAATTATAAATAAAATAATTAATTAAATAATTATATTTAGGCTCTACTTTTGTTTTTTAAAAATAATAACAAAAATACTAAAGAACTTTGGATTATTTACCTAATGAGTTCTTTCCTATTTTCTGTATATTTTCTCATATATATATGACAACTTTAAGGGTTCATAGAATTATAATTTATTTCCTTAGGACCGGGATTTTGGTCCTAATTCATCAGATGAAAATAGAGATTTGATGAATTAAGATCAAAATGCTGGTACTAAGGAAATAAATTATAATCTTAAAGTTGTCTGTTTATATATATATATATATATATAAAATTCACATTTTTATTTTCAATGCAAAATATATTTTAAAATAAAAAATTTCTAACTCCTGTATAATATATGGTCTGTGTTAACCAGATATTTTTATTAAAATCTATATTATGTATCAGTTAACTGATACTCAGCACCTGAACATTGCATTGTACATAAAACTCTGAGATGTGTTATCAGTGAAGGATAATATATATATATATATATATATATATATATATATATATATATATATATATAAAAAACACCTTTTTTCTTCCATTTGATTTATATCACTAATTAATGCAAATATGTCATCAGAAAAAAAAAAATCCTAACCAGTTGTTACTATTCAAAGCAAAAAAATTAAATTACAAATAAAAACAAGATGGTAGTGAAATGAACAAATTTCATTAAATAGAAAAAATAATTGAAACAAATACATTTTATCATTGCAAGTGTGAACTTAAAATTTATCTTGGAATTAATTTTGTGGCAAATATCTTATAAAACTGTGCAGTTGAAGGATTAAGGTATTTTAATAATCAGAGAAGAGAAAGCAAAAAAGAATTCTATAAAGTAGGGAAAAGGAAAAAAAAAAAGCAATAATAGTTCCTGAAATAAAAAAAATAAATAAAATAACAAACCGTGCTGGTCTGATTTTGAGTTGCTGCTGCTGCAGTCGGAGTAGCAGTAGACGCCGACACTGACGCCTGTTCACTTGTGGGAGTATCCATGGTGCTATAATGCTTCTGACGGGAGAGAGCCTGTAGATCATGTCGATGGCAGCAATAAAATACAACAGGACATGCTATCAAGCTCAAATGTATGAGATGAGAGTGAGAATGTGTTAGGGTTCCTTCAAATCTATACTTTTTAGTTTTAAGGGCAGAGAGAAAAAATAATCAGGATAAGATAGACAAGAAAGGATTTTAGTTATTTATTCATTTTATTTAAAGACATTTTTATGTTTATACATTCTTTTTATAGATACATGCATTTAAGTAAATGCTCTGTTTATAATAAGCAGTATTAAATAACATTTACCAATGAATGTCCAAAAAATTTTTATAAAAAATATTCGTCCTTGCCAACCGAACGATCCTTTGTGGCCAAGCAGTAAGGCACATCAGGCTATATGACGGTTCCATATAGGATACAGGTTCAAATCCTGTCGAAGGATGAATATTTTCTATGAAAATTTCTCGGACATTCAGGCTGGTAAATGTTATTTAATACTGCTTATTATAAACAGAGCATTTACTTAAATGCTTGTATCTATAAAAAGAATGTTAAACATAAAAATGTCTTTAAATAATTGTCGGACTTTGTCCATTTCATAATATGTTCTTCACTTTAGTTAAGCATTTTTACATAAAATATAGATAATTTTATTTATTAAAATTATATTTTTTTTTTAATATATCTTGGATGAAGCATTGTCAGTTATTTTTTTTTTTTTAATTTTCATCTTAATTTCAGTTGCTTTTTATTCCAACTGTTGTTGTATACTTTATTCACTATTTGCAATCTGTAAAATAACAGTCTGGGTCTTTCAATAAAACAAAGTACCTAAAATAGAAACAGGGTGTATCAAAAATATTTTTACAAATTTTGGGGGTGGCTTCCTCACACCAAAACAAGGACAAAAGTTCATATCAACATATGTCTGGGAATCCTTCATTTTTGAGTTATTAAGTTTAAAGAAAGTTTATGGTAGAATAAGGAACCCATCCCCAAAGTTTGTAAAAGTATTTTTGGATTGTATATTTAGCCATGTCTACCATAACTTTAAACTTAATAACTCAAAACTGAAGAATTTGAAGACATAAGTTTATATGGACTTTTGTCCCTGTTTTGGTGTGAGGGACCCACACCTAAAAGTTTGTAAAAGTATTTTTGATATGCCCTGTATATACATATATGAATATTTTAGTATCTACTCACCTACCCCAACCAAAAAACAATTCTTAAATTAACTTTTAGATCATTTTAAAAGATCAGAGTAAATAAGTAATAAATAAGACTATTTAGGCATTTCTTTTATTGCCTTTTCCTTTCACGTGCTTTTTTTTTTTTTCTTTTTTTTTTTTTTTAACTTGCTTCTACATTTTTTTCTTTATACCTTTATTTCCCTCTCTAGCCTGTCCCAATTCTGTTTCTGAAGAAAGAAAGAGAGAGAGTGAGAGAAACTCTTCCCAGAGTGCACAGATACAACACTAATCTTACTCAGAAGGTTAGGAAGTAACATTTTGATCCAAGGCAGAGTGCACAGATACACTGACCCGAGGCAGAAGTGATGATCTATAGGTAAATGATCCCATTATTTTGACTATACTGTCAGTTATGTGCCATGCATGATACATGACTAACGAGGCAGATTTTTTTCAGCAGTAGGTTGCCATTTCTTTGTGGTAGACCAGTTGCTATCCAAGGCTATTGAACCCAGTCTATCCTGCTTTTAACCCATAGTTGGGGGGGAGAAGAATAGGATTCATACCTTTCCAAAGGGTATTAGCACGTAAGTGAATGTAATGGATTCAACTGGAATTTGAACTCGGCTCTCCAATTCCTCAATCCAAGCCACTATCTATTACTCCACCATGACTATACTAGTAGGGATGAAAGCAACACTAGTTAAAAATATCAATAATAAATCAACTAACTTATTCAGGATTTATCCTTTAACATTGAATTAGCAAAACAAGTTTTCTGTGGGTTTCTTCAAGAGCCAACAATCTAACACTCCAAATTAGATCGATTGTGCAAGCAACTCCTTAAACTGCTGGATCAAATCAGGATTTCTTAATATTTGTTCATCTACAGTTGGTCATTGAATGATAAAGTCTCACGAGGCAAAATTCTGCCTCAAGCACATGCTAAGTGATCTTTAGATAAATATTCACATCATTTTATAAAACAAACCATACAAACATCTGATAATCTAAGAACCAAAAATATTACAAACTTCAAATAATTGACTGATTTATTCACTATCAACCCAATTGCAGGAAATATTTTTAGACTGTGAGAATTTTTTTTTTTTTTGAAATAATAATGATTTAGTGATACAAGTCTAATTAAAACATAGCTTAGAAGAGCTGGATTCATATCTCATCAGAATTTGATAAACAAACAAGAAATTATAATGTGAATATAAAGTGGGAGATCAATTCTATATTATATAAACCATATATAAACTAATCCATCACTTTATAGCTAAGGTAATTTCTATACATTTATATTCCCGAGAATGTAAATAAATCTAAGATACATGCCTGTGCAGCTAATTAGACTGATTGACTTTTCCACAGCTTATCAACTTTTTGCTGGTTATTTAAAGCCAGAAAATATTTTTAGATTTTAAGAAATTTATTTATTATTTGAAATAATAATGATTCAGTGATACAAGTCTTACTAATTAACCCATAGCTGGGGGAAGAAGAGGTAGATTCATACCTTTCTCAAGGGTATTTGCATGTAAGTGAATATAATAAGCCTAATTGCTCTCCAATTAACAATTCTAAGCCATTATCCATTACACCACCCACACATCCTAGCTTACAGCACCTGGTATTCCAAAGTGGTTACCCATCTAGGGACTGCTCAGGCACAATGTTGTTTACCTTCGGTGATCATATGAGAACCGGTGTTTCAACATGAGGTGGCCATAAGCAAACTTCAAAGAAAACTAGAAATAAATTCACTATTCATTGAAAATACTTTAAAATCTGTCTGGGGCTGCAGAATGTCTGTTATACTGTTAAATATTATAGTTTGTAAAAATTTAAAGATAATGTTGTGTGTGTGTGTGTGTGTGTGTTTGTGTGTGTGTTTGTGTGTGTAACTGGATTCTCCATTTGTTTTTGACATATGTGGATACAACCACTCAGTTCTTAGAACCAAACAGCCCATTCTATTCACACATAACTTGATTCTAATGATGATGATTTATGTAGAATCAAACACACTTTTGGAAGAGCTGAATACAGAGATCTGGTACACATAGTGTGTCACAATGTTTATAAATGACCCTCCACAATTTTGAATTCAGAGTAATCCTTCTCATGGACCAGTTGCCACCAAGGCTATAGGCCCCAGTTTATTCTGGTATCTACCCATAGCTGGGGCAAAAAAAAAGGTATTTGCACCTAAGAGGCCAAACAAAATTAACTGAAATTCACACTTAGCTTTCTGATTCCTCAATGTGAATCACTATTCATTATTCCACCATACCTGAGATTCCATATATGAGAGAGAGATGTTTCATTGAATAATTTAGACAAGTTTTGTCTACTTATTTTAAATTGGATCTTTTCATATTCACGGACAAGAGAGAAAATATTTGTTTTGAAAAAAAACCCAAAAAAACAAACTAATGGTGACATTGTGGTAATGTTGAAAGTACTCAATAAATAATATGTATCAATACAGTAATTTTTTCTCTTCCTTTAATAATGACACCAAAAAGCTTGTCCATCAATATGAAAGGATCCAATTGAAAATAAGTAGACAAAACTTGTCTAAATTATTCGATGAAACATGTCTAAATAAAAACAGGCTGCCAAAATATATGCTATATATATATATATTTATTTATTTTAATCATTTCACCCCAAAATCAGGTGTTAATTTCACAATGATACCAGAGGTTACTTATGGGGGGGGGGGGAGAATGAGAACACTTTAGTGAAGAGAAAAAAAAAAAAAAAAAAAAATCTAAAAAAAGAAGATGATATTTTTTTTAGGTAAGCAGTTTTTGTAATTCCAGTGGTTAGTATTAGAGGATAGAGCATGCCAGTTTCAGTTTGACCTACCTGGTCAATCTCTAGAAATAAACAATTTATAAGTTTTACTAAAGAAAGACTCCAAGGATAAAAGTAAGGATGCTGGCAAATTGGAAAAGCCATAAACAAGAAGTAAAATGCTTCCTTTAGGTGAAAATGTTAAAGTTCTTCATCATACAACTTTTATTACAGTATACTAATACAACAAGGATCGTGATCAATAAACTGAGTAACAGCATTTCACCAAACAGAAGAGAAAAAAAAACACCATGAGGAAAAATTTCAATAAACATAAAAAATGCCTAAAGGTTAAATCCACTTTGGCAGGAAGGGAGACAAGCCTACTACTGCTTAGAACACATCCATTAAGCTGAGGAGTGGGAGAAATTTCAGAAATTTGTTAGACAAGGATGGTGAGTTCCATTATTGGTAGGATCACCAGAGTCAGCATAGTTAAAACTAATTATTCCATTTTATTATTAATTAGTGTTGTTAATTTTTTACAGTTCCTAATTAATAAATTAAACTTTCATAGTTAAGTATTAGAAAAAAAAGTCATGTATCTAAGGTTTCAGCCATTCTCTTGGATACTGAAATCCATCCAGAATATCATCATCACCTACCACACTTCACGTCATGTGCTTATTCATTTACTTTTTTTTTTTGTAAATACAGTGTTCTTCCTGAAGATACCAAAAGATTGAAACCAAGGTAGCAGAATCAGCTGAGGTCCTAATTTTATATATATATATATATATATAAATTAACCTAGCCTATTTACATACACACTTTCTCCAACCACCCAACAAGCATAAATAAGCGATCTAGAAGTCATCTAAATGCAAATAACTGCTACTTATCTAAAATGTATATTCCCATTAATTGTATCCCCTTATCAAGGAACTTGATAGCAAAATTGAATTTATAACAGATAAATTCAATTTTATTATCAACTCCCCTTGATAAGTTGATGAAATCTCTCTGAAACTAAGAGTAGTACCAGATGAGTGAGCATTTAATTTTATTTGTTATCATTTATGCTCTGTTTCTTGTTATTGAGTACTTTAATTACAAAACTGCTTGCCTTAAAAGCATTACCTTCCAGAAATACCTTTTTTGGGTGAAACAATATTTGTCAAAAATAACAGTTGACTAAATAGAATTGATACACACCCACTGCTGATAATTACAGTGACAAAGAATGATTTAAAAGAAAACTTAAAAATAACAACTAATAATTTACCTATTTTTATGTTAGATCCACCATCAGTAAACAATTATATTCAGTCTAATTACAATAAGTGGTGGATAAAGTAATAACAATAGTTCAGTTATGGTGATATGATTGTTCTGCACTTGTCAAAATATTGTGATTAGATTACATCACTATTTTAGTCAATTATGTATCGCATCTTTAAAACATCTATTTGTCTAAATTATATAACAAGTCCCATTTCAATATTACAAAATTTGTGTATGGAGGTAGGTGCATAGGTAATATTGAAGCTTATATGTAATGTAAGCTTTAATATCACATGTAACTATAATATGACAGTTTACGAATAATTGAAATATTGTCTTTTGGCAACATCTAGGCAACAAATATTTTTTTATTGTAATATTATTTAAAATAAAAAAGGAGATTAACTTCATTGTATTATTTTCCTTAAATATCTGATTATTTGGTTTTCTCATTGCATTCCAAAATATATATATTAAAATAAATTATAACCAGTAGCAAACAAGAAATAATTTAAAAGCAATGACAAACAATTGTTTTTCTTAACCAATAGCAAACAAAAGAATACTTTTTTCTTAACCAATAGCAAACAAAAGAATACTTTTTTCTTAACCAATAGCAAACAAAAGAATACTTTTTTTCTTAACCAATAGCAAACAAAAGAATACTTTTTTTCTTAACCAATAGCAAACAAAAGAATACTTTTTTTCTTAACCAATAGCAAACAAAAGAATACATTTTTTCTTAACCAATAGCAAACAAAAGAATACATTTTTTCTTAACCAATAGTAAACAAAAGAATACATTTTTTCTTAACCAATAGTAAACAAAAGAATACATTTTTTCTTAACCAATAGTAAACAAAAGAATACATTTTTTTCTTAACCAATAGCAAACAAAATATTTTTCCTCAATCAATATCAAACAAAAGAATAGCATTTTTAACCAATAGCAAAAAAATATTTAACCAGTAATAAAAGAATAGTTATGAAGCAATAACAAACAAAGAAACATTTTTCTTAAATAGCAAAACAAAATATTTTTTTGTAAAGAAGGATTTTTTTTTTATAATCAATGAGAAACAGAATTGATAAAATAATATTTAAACAATCAATAGTGAAAGTGCATGGAATATATAAAAAGTGAAATGTGTGTGCCTGCTTGTGTATTGTGCAGATGACAAATGTAAGAATGTGGAATTGTAGTGAATAATAAAGTGTTCATGTGGGAGGAAATATTGGTGAATACATTATAAGTGAGTATATTTTCTAAATCATGATAATCACAGACTTCAGAGGAACTTACATGCAGGATTAAAAAAACTATACAAAGTGGCAGAGTCTTAAACTCAGGCAATTCATTTAAACTTCGCATCATTCAAAAATAAGAATCATTTAGATATAAAAAGAGACAAATGAAGAAGAGGTCTTGGTTCATTTGTTGATTTGACTTAGATGACAAGAAGCTACATTGTTTCAGAATTGTTTTTAGCCTTCATCAGTTTTAACAACTCATTGAAATGTTTCCAATCTTAACATTTTTAAAAATTTTGTTGGCAGTACAAAATTTAATTATAGCATGTAAAACAGACATATTTAAAATATGATATTAATATCAAATATTTAATACATTTGTTTCCGCACCATATATACAGTAAGAACGAAAAGTAACTCCCTATATTATGCATCTGTGGTCAGGCAGGGGTCCAGATTTAACACCCTGTGACATTTTTCTTTAGGGGTGCTTAAAGGGGCAAGTTTACTATACTAAACCAAAACTTTAGAAGAAATTGAAGGGTGAATACAAGAAGTTATATCTCTTATACCATAAGAATTCCTGATGAAATCAGTCGACACGATTCCTGGGCAGCTCGAAAAGCTGGTAGCAAAATCTGATGACCATACCTAATTGTAAATAAAATCTCATGCAAAATACTTTCCTCTCATATCCATTTCTTGTAAAAATTATAGTTAATAAATAAATTATAAGTATTTTAAAATGGGGAGTTACTTTTCAATCATCCTGTGTGTGTGTGTATATATATATATATATATATTTCTAATCTTAACATTTTTAGAGAGATTTTGTTGGAAGTACAGAATTTAATTATGGTATGTAAAATGGACATATTTAAAATAGGATATTAAATTCAAATTTTAACTATGTTTGTTTTCCACTCTCTCTCATATATATATAAATATATATATATATATATGTGTGTGTGTGTGTGTGTGTGTGTAAAAATTCCAGATAGACTATATCTGTAAAAAGACATTATGTAATGTGTTTCATCCTCTGTGGGACTTTATTAAAGCAAATGCCAAGATTTTATACAGGACTGCAAAATTTAAAAAAAAATTTAAACAAAACAGTTAAACTCATGACCTTATGTTACTCAAAATAAATAACACATAAGTTAACTCCCATACGAATTTGCCCAAAATTTCTATAAAAAAAAAAAAAATTTCAAAAGTATCATTTACATTTATTAGACATTAAATTGTATTACATTGCGTCCCCCATAACTTGCCTGACATTTCAGCTAACCTGATTAATACTGAAAAGTATTTCTAACTCAAGTTTTTTTTAAACCAAATAACATTTTGCTCTTGTATATAAATATTTGTTACAAAATAAAATCCTTGCATTGGCCTTAATAAAGTCCCACAGAGGATAAAATGTGTTTTCCTTTTGTCTTTATTCATAAATATATATTTCCAATTTTAACATTTACAGAGATTTTGCTGGCAGTACAGAATTTAATTATGGCATGGAAAACATATATATCTAAAATATGATATTAAAAAGCAAGAAGAAATGTAGACACAAAAAACATTTTTTGAAGTTAACCAAAACTCAACTAAGAATAATAAAATAAACACATGTACTGATTAAAAAGAAAACAAAATACACTTATTAGTAATATACTAACAATAATATATTTAAATGTAGATTATATAAAGACCAAGCAGCAATTTTTTCTGTTTTGACAGGGTAGGCTACCTTGACTTAAAAATTGTTTCCAGCAATATAAATTGATAGTGCTATCTGTGCAACACAAAGAAAAGAGTTTTATAAAACTATATTTTTTTAGCTTATGTTTCTATTTAAGATAAAAGGTAAAAAAAACATAAAATTCTGCCAGTTTTATATCAGGGATTAGCCTAATCCATCCTACCTTAATATTTCATTAAGCTGAGGAATATATGGAATTTGCAATTATTCTGAAATAAGTTTTACTTTATCATTATAATGCATAAAACCAAAGACTTATGTACCATTGAGATCAACACTTGAAAGTTCTCAACCTGCATTCGAATATCGTATTGAAAGACAGACACAAAAAAGGAAAAGATACAAATGCTCCTCCCACTAAATAAAAAAATAGTCTTCCTTAAAATATTTTGCATGTCAATTTCAGCAATTGGCACAACATATTTAAGAGAAATCTTTAACAAAGACGATTTTATTGTTTTTGTTTAGTGGCATATCAACCTCTGGGTTATTTAAAAGCCGAAATCTAAATATTTTGACTGCAATTTTATTTGTTTTTGAGATTATAATGGTTCTAAATGATACAAGTCTAACTAATTAACCCATAGCTGGGAGAGGAAGGGGTGGATTCAAACCTTTCTCGCATGTAAGTGAATATAACAAACCTAACTGAAATAGGAACTCAGCTCTCCGATTAACAATTCCGAGCCATTATACGTTATATCAACTGTAAATCCAAGCTTACAGCACCTGGTATTCCCAAGTGGTCACCCATCTAGGTACTGATCAGGATCAATGTGGCTTAACTTCGGTGATTGTATTGAAACCATTTCCAAAGATGAAGTAGGTTAAATTTACATTCAATTTTGATAAGAAACACAAATTTTGAACACGAGTTAGAAAAAAATTCCATTATTACCATTGATTCTTCACCTTTAACACAACAGCTAAATGAAATGAGTCTTTATACTTATTAGTAATGAAAAAATATTTCTTCTATATGCCATATCCATTCAGGATGTAGAATATCATGGCTCTTCACAATTTCCTTTTGTTTTTTCATTATCCCTCCTAAACCTTGTTCTGCCATCCATTTACTCAACCTCACTAGGTAGGTTTTTGCATTGCTTCCCTTCCAGCCCTTTTACCGTTAATCTGTCTTGTGAGTATCAAATTTTCCAAGCTCTTTCCTCATTATGTACCCTAGAAACTTCAACTATCTCTTCCTCATATTAAGTATAAGTTTCCATTCTGTTTCCATTTTCTTTTAAACTTTGATCATATGTTTGGTTCATGCTATTCCCAGCATCCTTCTGTAGAACCACATTTCTGTTGCTTCAAGTCTCTTCTTCATCTGTAAGGAGATCCAACATTCACTGCTACATAGGAAGACTAATATTATGTAACAGCCCAGTATTTCTTTCTTTGTTTCTAACAAAATTTTCCTGTTTTTTTAATACTTTGCTTAGCTTTTGGAATGCATGTTTTGCTATCTCAATGTACCTTTGGATTTCAGTGTTGCACTTTCCATTTTCTGTTCCAACACTTCCCAGATATTTAAATTGTTGGACTTGTTTGATTTTGGTATCTTCAATTTGTAATTTGTTTCTTTTTGCTAACAATGATGCATTCTTTCTTCTTGCTTTTCTTCACTAAATTCTATAGGTGTTCCTGTATTTTCTTTTCTATGTCTGCTATCTACACTGTGTCATCTGTATATCTTATGTAGTTATGATTGTGGCCCCCAATGATGAATCCTTGTAGTTCTAATTCTCTCAGAATTGCCTCCCTGTATAGGTTGAATAAGTCTGGTGAGAAAACACATCCTTGTCTTACACTCCTTTATATTTTTATATATTTACTGAATTCATTTAATATGGTTTAAAAAATATTAAAATAGGTTTAAAAAAGGTTTAAAAAAACTGGTCCTATTCCAAAAAGGAGTTTGCAAACTCCTGATTTTCTTTTCAAGCCACTACACTCCACCCATCCAATGTTGCCCACAGAGCCTTGCCTGGAATGTTAAGGTCATTAAGTGTGCATAAATCTTCAAGATTGGGGCAAACTAGAAGAAACTCCATAGTCTGTAATTGCCTGCATTGGCAGATGGGATCATCATCAGTGGTATATTCCCATTTCTGAAGGTTGGCTCTACAGCGGCCAACAGATATTTAAAAGTGATTTAGGCAAGAACAGAAGAGGCAGCATCACTGGAGTCAGGAGGGAGGGATTCTGTAGGGCTGAGAGAGAGCTTCTGTTCTACATTGTTAAGGTGGCTGCACTACAGGGACAGATGCTGACTAGGAGTTCTATTCCCTATTTACATTGTTCAGACTATCATCCTCATCTTTGTTGCCATACTTATCACAATGTTTCGGCTGTTGTACACTCCGACCTTCTTCAGGTGGTTGGACTGTCAAACTGAACCCTTTATTTCATAAGCTGTGGTAAACTTTTCTAGTTCCACATGCCATGTCTAATGGATGTCAGTTATCAGTTAGACATGGCACGTGGAACTAGAACAGTTTACCCCAGCAAGTGAAATAAAAGGTTCAGTTTGACATTCCAACCACCTGAAAAAGGCTGGAACATACAATGGCCGAAACATGATAAATATGGCAACAAAGAGGAGGATGATATTCCGAACAATGAAATAGTGTACATAATACCTCATCTCAGAAATATAGACAGATACTGAAGGAGTTCTGTTGTTCAGTGATTTGCCTGAATGTAGAAAGCTGTCTTAACTTGAGTCTCTTTGTCATTGGTTCACAGCTGTGGAATGGATGATGAAGGTCAGTTTCTGGCTTCAACTTCTCATGTTGAGAGCGGACTGTCCTTCTGATGTAAGGGGGAGCAATGCCACTAAGCAAGTAGAAAACTCATGATTCATGTGATATAAATATTATATAGAATAATTTTCTGTATAATTAAGTCACCCAACTACAGAGTTTGATTCCATGTGGTTCTTTTTGTTTAAAATCATGCAAAGACCAAAGAACTTCTCCATACAGTTTCAGTAAATGTCACATGTTTATGCAAGAAGATAGTTTTAAAGGTGAAACCTACTAAATAGCTAGGGGCTTACTGACCATCATTTACAGTCAATTTTGATGATAGAAAGCACAAATTTTGAACCACTCTTTCAATGAAATTTTATCTTAAAAAATACAAAAACAAAAATAATAATTCCTTCATTTTTATTGATTCTTCATCTTTCACACTGATGGCTGGCTGCTCATATCCAAGTATGTCTGTCTACACAAGTGGTTAGCCAATCCCTGTTGCAGACGCCTGGTCAGGCACATTCTGTTTGTTCAACACCCACAGAGCCCACCTGTGGTTTACATTGCAACTATGCTGAACAGACCTTAGTTAAAGTTTCTGGGAAAGAGCACATTATCCAGCTTAATCAACAGTCTGAACAAGGTCAGTACACTCAAAACCTTGGTCACAATAACTTGTGATTTCATGCTAGCACAACCATTGACAGCTCCCAAGTAGTTCTGTCCACCCAATTTCACTCACAAGGCTTCGGCCAACATATGGTATAGTTTTCAGGCAGTTTCCAAAGTTGCCAAATGCTGGAATTGCTTTCCCAGTCTGATAACATCAAGAAGTCACCTTCCTGATAAATCAACCAAAATGAGATTCAGGTCAGGTGTCATGGTCGGAAAGTGAACATTCTAACCACTTGGCTATATGTCCATCACACTATAGCTAAAAGAAAAACATAAGTGTTTATGTTTATTTATAATTGAAAATATCTGATATTGTTTAAAATAAATTTTTTTTTAAAAAACTTCCAATCTGCCCACCTTCCAAAGAGGAGTTTTCAGAACCCTGTTCCATGTGGTACAAATAATTGGTTTCTCTTCTGCATATTTAAACCAGCCATCTGAAGAATTCAATTCCATGTTGTTATATCTGCTTAAATTATTCAAAGATCAAAGGACATTTTTAGACAAAAGGTGAAAGTAAGCTCTAAGCATTGATGAAGGAATAGAATTCTTTACATTACAAGGATTGCCATTGCCATATATATATATATATATATATATATATATATATATATATATATATATATATATATATATATATCATTTCAATTTAAGCAAGGCAATAAAGTAACACAAGGGGTTACTGAGTACAAAAGAATATGAGAAAAAGAAAAAAAAAACATTAACAAGAAAGAACAATAAAAGAACAGAAATCAAGAGGCAAGTAGATAAGGATTGACATTACATTTAAATTTTTGAAGATCACAGTTGACTGGGGTACAAGTAGCCAGAAGAGAGTTCCACAAGCAAGACGTGTGAGAGAATAAACTGCTACCATAGAACTCAGGGTAACATCCAGCAAAATGTAAAATGATGAGACCTAGCTGCCAAGCTAGTACTGTGCTTAAATTCGTAATGCTGAGGTACTAAAAAGGAAAACTCTCTCTCTCTCTCACACACACACACACACAAAACAAGCCAGCTCTTGAAAGGCAAAAATGCTATGCTAATTTCACCCAAAACAAGGCAATAAAGCCACCAAAACGCAAGGGGGTTACTGAGTGTGAAAGAATATAAGAAAAAAACATTATTAAAGTGAAAGAACAATAAAAGAACAGGAATCAAGAGGACAGCAGATAAGAATTGTCATTGCATTTAAATTTTTGTAGATCAAAGTTGACTGGAAAGTAAGAAGCTGGAAGAAAGTTCCACTAGCCATTTCAACTGTAAAATGATGAGACCTTGCCACCAATCTAGGAGTACACTTAAATTCATAAATTCTAGGTACCAAAGAGGAAAGATCATCAGAAAAATTACCATGAAAATATTTATGAAAAAGAAAGATACATTATGGCAGCAGGAAAGTGACTGAAGTAGAGATGCCAGGTCAGCACCAATAACATTGCCAATTCTTCTTTGTATTTTATCTCTAAATACATAGTGGAAGCACCAGATCAGATGTGGCAGCAATACATAGACAAATCTTTTTTCTTATCATTTCACCCAAACGAGGCCATAAAGCCACTAAGATCCAAGAGGTTACTGAATGTGAGAGAATATAAAAGAAGACATAATTAAGGAGAGAGAACAATTAAAGAACAGGAATTAAGAAGACAAAAGATAACAATTGACATTGCATTTAAATTTTTGAAGATGAAAATTTACTGGAAAGCAAGCAGCCAGAAGAGAATTCTACAAGTGAAAAGGGTGAGAGAAGAAATTGTGAGCATAGAACTTATAGATGCAACTAAAAATTTCAACTGTAAAATGATGAGACCTAGCTACCAATCTAGTACTGCACTTAAATTTGTGAAGTGCAAGTACCCAAGAGGAAAACAATTACTATGAACATATTTATAGAAAATGCTTAGAAGCTATGTTATGTTGGTGAGAAAGTAAGTGAAGCCAAGCTGCCAAGTCATCCTATCAAGAACTTCTAAATACATCATAGAAGCATGAAACCAGATGTGGCAGCAATATTCAATACTAATTTATTATCAAAATAAAATTTTAGTTTACTACCAAATAGAGAGCCTCAAGCTGAAATGACAGATAATCCTATATTCGATACTCCTGAAGAAGACCATTGAATGGAACAAGTGAAACATCATGTGAGTGTGGATAACATCATGGAAAGATTTGATTATCTGAAAGAATTACAATGTGATAATGTCTCTTCTCAAACTTATCAATAATATTTCTTTTATGATTTTACTTACCATACAGAAAGTTATCTGTTTCATAATCAAATGCTTATAGCAGTATCACAATGGTGAGGATAAGATATTAATACAAGTGTTTTTTTTCATAATAGTAAAGTA